TCACTTCAGGCATAAATAATTACAATTTTGACTTGAATCACTAAACTAAAATAAATTGTATGATCATTTTCTTATTCACTGAGATGAAACTGTATTGCAGTTGCCCACCATGCTAAAAAACAAACAAAATAACCATCTTTTTGGACTATTGCCAAGACAGCAATCTGCTGTCATAATATAGCCACAACTTTCCCCATTACTGTGGTAAATGATTAAATGGAAATAAATGAATTTCACATCAAATAAACCAATCATTATAAATACAGCACACCTATACGTTAAAACATGGTCAAACAACATTACTAACATCAAAATATAGGAGATAGGAGAAGTTTAAATAGCTTAACGATTAACATTTATCTGACGACCAGTTGGGATTAGTGAAATGATGTTATGAGAAAAAAAAACACAAAAATGGGTCAGAGCTTGGAATGTGACATTTGGGCATCTTGGGGATTACGTGCCTATCTTTATATTTCCCCTGAAGCATTAATATCTTTGATTACAGATAAATATCAGTCTCTAAGTCACAGCAGAAAAAGTCCCTGTCCCTTTGGATGCAATTTCCCAGTTAGTCCTGGTCAACATCCCACCGTGAGAACCACTTTTACAGGCACTGCACTCCTTTATGACTAAATCTTTCTATTTCGAAAGCAGATATGCTCTTACGGATTAACAACTGTCCCCTTGAGATGTGCCATTCGAAACCTTTAGATTCAGACACAGTTCTCAGACACAGTGGTGGTTTGTATAAAATCTAAACAATACTAGCCTGAATCAGGGTTTTTATTACAACAGTCGGGCCAGGGTGAAAATCAAAAGATATAATTTCAAGACATGCTCTTTATTAAAACTAACAAAATATTATGCATGTGACTTTAAGACAGAGCGGATCGTTTTCTTAATGGCTTTGTTCGTTTTGTTGATATGAGCTTAGAGCGTTTGGATAATGTTTGGAGTCTTACAGTGTGGGAGGCATCTAGCTTACCTTGTGTCATACTTTAGTATTAAAGTCTTTTACACATTTGTAAAAGAAAAGCAAACAACACCAAAGCCACAGTTGGAACTGGCCAAGTTTTTGTGCAGAACAACAAAGTTCATTATAATGGCTTAAGTGATTATTAAAAACATACCTTTAAAAATAAAGTTTTAGTTATTTTCCACAGATTTTACCTCTTGTGAAATTCTATTTATGGAAAAACATTCTTTTTTTGGATATCTATACTGAGCATCGGGTAAGATGCATCACCACTGCCTAAAATACCATGTCTGGTTAGCATTTTTTTTCCACAAATAAGATAAATTTTTCTTTTCTTTCTTCATTGCATATCATTTCACTGAATTTAGAAACAGTACAATGCATAAAGAAAGAATAAAGGATTTTGTACACACTGCAGAAAAGGGATGTTTCAAAGAGTAATATCATCAATGAGAATTTAGTTTAAATAAAACCAGATGCACTCTTTCTAACATCATCTAGACAGACTTTCCTCTCTACCAATGCTGTATAAAAACACTTTACAGAAACAAAAACAAAATGGTGACATTAACAAAGGACTTAAGATAAATCTCCACAATTCTGTAAAGCAGCTCTGCTGTCTCATCCTGTAAAAAACGTAAGCCTTATTTGTGATTTCATATTTTTCAGACAAACCTAAATAAAGGATCACACAGCTTTCCTTAATCTGTAGGCTTTAGCATGACAAGCCCTGACACATTGTGCTTACATTATCACATTATCAAGACCAGTCAGGTTTATTTGGCTCCCAAGCTCCTGATTATCTTTGGTTCATGGACTGTGATTAAAGCGTTCAATGATGAATGTAATGCTTCCAAAGCCTAAACTAAAACAAGATTGTCCCCGTGATATACTTTCTTTTCCACTCTCCTCCTTATTTGTCAAAAAGAAAATCCATTATCCATTATAAAAATCTTGTTACCTATGAAACCATTCCCCAGTCTGTTACATGACAACCACAAACATAAATTCATTACTTTTATTTGTATCTCATATGATTGACCAACACAAAGTAACACGTGATTGTGAAGCGAAAAGAAATATATACACAGACTCTTGATCCTTTTAAAATAAAAGCCTGAAAATGCGTCTGGCATCTGCATCCGACTCATAGACCTCTAAATAAACTCATGTGTAACCAATTGCTTGGAGAACACACCTAGATAGATTCCACATGTGTGTAATTTAATCAGCCCAGAAAAACAGATGTTTTCTGAAGGTCTTACAGTTTTGCTAAAGAACAGAGAACAAGCAGTTCTATTAATAATAACTCATAGAACACATCAGACAGGTCAGGGATACATTTTTGGAGAAGTTTCAACGGAATTAGGTTAGAAATACAGAATCTAAGCTTTGAACATCTAACAGACAGTGGAGACATTGTGAAACAACTGCAAACCTAAACGTTCATGGTTGTCCACTTAGAGTGACAATGCCAGCCAAGGAGGACAATAGCCAGAGACGCAGTTAGGAGGTTCATGGTAACCTAAAGAAGGCTGCTATTAGTCATGTCCTTCATAAAATTGACACTATTAAAAGATTGGTAAGAATAAATCTGTAATTGAAAGAAATCCATCTGAAATCAGTGTTGCTGCCTGCAATGGTACATGTAGGGGGCAGAGCAAACATAAGAAGGTGCTCTGCCCAAAAGGTAACAAAAAGCTTTTTTTAATATACATACAATCTGTGATAAAACAAAAGGCACTCTACATCATCCTGAAAACACCATTTTCACTTTGGAACATACAGGTGCTGGTCATAAAATTAGAATATCATGAAAAAGTAGATTGATTTCAGTAATTCCATTTAAAAAGTGAAACTTGTATATTATATTCATACATTACATACAAACTCATATATTTCAGATGTTTATTTTGTTTAATTTTGATGATTACAAATGACAAATGAAAATCTCAAATTCATCATATCAGAAAATTAGAATATTACTGAAGACCAATAAAAACAAAGGATTTATAGAAATGTTGGCCAACTGAAAAGTATGAACATGAAAAGTATGAGCATGTACAGCACTCAGTATTTAGTTGGGCCTCCTTTGGCCTGTATTACTGCAGCAATGCGGCGTGGCATGGAGTCGATCAGTCTGTGGCACTGCTCAGGTGTTATGATAGCCCAGGTTGCTCTAATAGTGGCTTTTAGCTCTTCTGAATTGTTGGGTCTGGTGTATTGCATCTTCTTCTTCACAATACCCCATAGATTTTCTATGGGGTTAAGGTCAGGAGAGTTTGCTGGCCAATTAAGAACAGGGATACCATGGTCCTTCAACCAGGTACTGGTAGCTTTGGCACTGTGTGCAGGTGCCAAGTCCTGTTGGAAAATGAAATCTGCATCTCCAAAAAGTTGGTCAGCTGCAGGAAGCATGAAGTGCTCTAAAACTTCCTGGTATGTGGCTGCGTTGACCCTGGACCTCAGAAAACACAATGGACCAACACCAGCAGATGACATGGCACCCCAAACCATCACTGACTGTGGAAACTTTACACTGGACTTCAAGCAACGTGGATGAAGTGCCTCTCTTCTTTTCCTCCAGACTCTGGGACCTTGATTTCCAAAGGAAATGCAAAATTTACTTTAATCAGAGAACATGACTTTGGACCACTCACCAGCAGTCCAGTCCTGTTTCTCTTTAGCCCAGGCAAGACGCTTCTGACGCTGTCTGTGGTTCAAGAGTGGCTTGACACAAGGAATGCGACAGCAGAAACCCATGTCTTTCATACGTCTGTGTGTGGTGGTTCTTGAAGCACTCACTCCAGCTGCAGTCCACTCTTTGTGAATCTCCCCCACATTTTTGAATGGGTTTTGTTTCACAATCCTCTCCAGGGTGCGGTTATCTCTCTTGCTTGTACACTTTTTTCGACCACATCTTTTCCTTCCCTTCGCCTCTCTATTAATGTGCTTGGACACTGAGCTCTGTGAACAGCCAGCCTGTTTAGCGATGACCTTTTGTGTCTTGCCCTCCTTGTGCAAGGTGTCGATGGTCGTCTTTTGGACAACTGTCAAGTCAGCAGTCTTCCCCATGATTGTGTAGCCTATAGAACTAGACTGAAAGACCATTTAAAGGCTTTTGCAGGTGGTTTGAGTTAATTAGCTGATTAGAGTGTGGCACCAGGGGCCATCAATTTTGAACCTTTTCACAATATTCTAATTTTCTGATATGATGAATTTGAGATTTTCATTTGTTGTCATTTGTAATCATCAAAATTAAACAAAATAAACATCTGAAATATATGAGTTTGTATGTAATGTATGAATATAATATACAAGTTTCACTTTTTAAATGGAATTACTGAAATCAATCTACTTTTTCATGATATTCTAATTTTATGACCAGCACCTGTATTGGTTGGAGCATTATGATGTGGGCATGCTGTTCCTCCTCAGTACCAGAGAAATCAGTGAGGGTTGATAGAAAAAGACCTTAAGTTAGAAAGATGTCATTCGGGTAACAGAACCTGCTAGAGGTCAACCAAAGACCTGAGTTTAACCTCCTTTCTGGAGAACAATCCCAAATCTACAGCTAAACATTATTGTTTATATGACAGCTGATGTCCAGGTTCTAAAATTGTTCTTAATCTTATTGACAATCTGTAGCAGACTTAAAAATTACAGGCAACCTGACAATACGATTTAATGGTCTCTGTTTAGTCTTTCATAGTTTGAGACAGTTTTCAAGGAAGAATTAACAAACCTATTCTTCAGTTGTGCAGTGCTAATTAAGATATACACTCAAATACTTGCAGCTTCAATTGCTCTGAAAGGTGATTCTACAAAGCATTTAATCAGATTACCTGGATGTTAGATATCTATTAGAAAAACTTCAGAGTTTAGAACATTCATTTTCTTCCACCTGACTTTAATGTCTTACTCTGTTTTGGTTCATCATGTGAAATTCTTCTGCAAAGCCTAGTATAATCTCCTTTCTTAGCTTTAGCTGACACGGAATTGTGTGCATGTTCAGACTCACCATCCCCAAGCATGTGGACAGTGCCACTGAGGAGTTGACCCTTGACCTCAGTGACCCCTGGTAAAAGCAGTGGTCGTCTTGGTGGTAGGCCCTCAGGCTCTTTGTGCCGTTTCTTCCCAGGACCTGGACAGTGAAGCCAGGTGCGATTAGGCTTTGTGAAGCCTCTCTCAGCTCCATGTGGAAATCCTGGCCCAATCCCCTGAGCTGGAAGTGGACTGTTTCACTGGTGGGGCCAGCGTCTGAAGGGTGCGCATCAGAAGGAAGGGATCTACGCCGTCTTCTACGCTTATGATGTGCGACTTCATGAGAGATGTACACACCTTGGTGGTTAACCTCATAGGGGGCTACTATTTCATATTCTAGATAGGAAATAACGGAGGACAGGAACAAAATAGAAAGAAAAATGAATAAATATTTCATTTTCTACAACAATGCATTAAATACTGAACCACAGAGAGGGAATATATCCTGAAGAGTTAATAGCTCATTTCCATTAGTCATATCAACAAAGCATAAATAGTGAAGGGGAACCTGAATTTAACAGTTGTTGTATTGCTTTTACAATTCTCATGAATCTAAACAGTTGTTACCTTTTTTGTGAAATAATACTAGAACAGTACATTCAAATAAGCTTTAAAATCCAGTAAATCTTAGACATTGCTTTGGAGAGAGCAATTTAATGTATTCATTTTTTTTAAGGTGTTGCAGGTTATTCCAAATGAATCCTGTTAGATTCAACTATACATTTATGGCAATATTTTCACAACATTGTGTATTAGAATTAGTTTTGTGGTAGATATTCTCATCCAGTTTTTTTTTTCCTTTACCAGTTTTTTCTTGATTGTTTCTAAAATATAGATAACCTTTCTTTTAGTGTTACATTAAAACAAGAATTAGAAATTCACTCTTGCAACTATAGTAGATTATTGAACTCGAGCAACAAACAAGTCAAATTCATGAACCTTAATGTTTCACAAATTATGTGTTATTACCAGTTCTTTTTTCTAAAGATATCACAACATCTTTACTATTTTATTTTAGTTAAATTTCCTATTCAGGTTTAGATTTGCTTTTTTTTATGACCAACTGGTTAGATGGAATAGTGTTTTACGTAAAAGCACGGTGCAATTACATTTCTTTTGGATGATTACTTCTCTGGATGGTTACTTTTTGTTTCAGAGTGCTAGCATTAGCCAGTGTATGAAGGGGTTTTCAGTGTTAAGATCCAAGTAAATCTACCTTCTGTTGTTTTTCAAATGTTTGACAATTCTTAGCAAAGTTTTAGTAGTTTGGCATTCAGCAAGCTGTAAACTAAGTTAACCAGGTCTTACAATATAAGATGAAGCAAAAAGCCTTTTGATATTGTTTGGAGATCACTATACAAATCAATAGCTGCTTCTGTTAGATGAATAATATTATTTGAAGAAGATTCTATTCAACATACTGTGCAATAATCTGTCATTACAGTAAAACAATTGTACTTTGTAAGACTTCTTGAACTCACATAAATTCTCAAAATAAAATATAATAATATTTTCCTGGTAAACATTACATATACAAATCTTCTACTAAGTCTGCATTTAGTTGAACTTACCAAAACAAACTGGACATTTCTATAGCCGTACTTATCTTGAATTAAGAAAAGCCATTATTTTCCATTCCTTTTTTACATCCTTCTTGACCTTACTCATATATTTCTTTCTGGCAGGGTCAAGACATAATTACAAGTAAAAGCTTGCTTTTCCAAAAAAGACTATTCGGTAGGGAGTGAGTTATATTACATGTAGTGTTTTACTGCATTCTCAGGCCATATAACTGCAGGTCATACAGCAGCATGGTGGCAGGTCACATTTCTGGCCTCCCGAAACTGTTCTACACACAATAGTGCTTTGGCAAGAGAAACTAATGGATAGATCTAGAGTTGACAATCACTTAGTTAAAGCATTAACAGCAACAAATACAATTGTTTCATTGTTAATGATAGCAGCAAATTGTATTGTAAACGGCCTAGGTGTGCCTACCCCCATACAGTATGTATCCTCATTTTGCATTGTTGCAACTAGTTATTTCTTAAGTGCATCAATGTATGTTATATGTATTTCATCCGACAGTCCTGAACAAAATAATGCAAACATTAGATGTGAAAATGAAAGAATGTGTGGTTTTAAATACTATCCCACAAAAACAAAGAAATCTATTACTCAAAAGCGTTGTGTGCATTTGCACTCTGCAGGCTTTTAAAAACATAACAAAGTCTTAAAAAATGTTGCGTTTCAGAAATCCACTCATGAAAATCATTAAGAGTGAGGAATACTTCAAAAATGGTCATGGATAATGTTACAAAATTTACAGCAGGTTTATGTTTAAAAGCTATTTTGGGTGTTAGGGCCAGTTTGTGGCAGTGTGCAGAGTGAGCCGTTTCAAAGATAATTAAATATAGCCCATAGACATGGATTGACACTGCAGACTTGTAGACGGTGTGTCATCAGAAGCAGCGCGTCTGTCTGTGGTTTGAACTTTGTGATGTGTTGCATTTTCAAGCAGACATAAAGTCACTGCCCATAGACTGAAATACATACACACTCAATTACACAGGCATTTATATTCTTGCTTTGCATAGATTGCATTAGTTTCTTAAAGATGGCGTTTCCGATAAAAGGCTTTCATTAGGTCTTTAAATATTAACCCTAAGGATTAATCAGTAAGTTTGAAGATAAATATTTCCATCAGATATCAGGAAGACAAGCATGTAGGCTAAAATGATCTTCTCTAAGTTACAGCATTGGAACCATCAGCAAAGAGACACATATGCACATAGAAATGCAGACATTCAGCGTTGAAGTTAATAGTCCCACTCTAAGTTGGGAAAAAAAAAAGAAGAAACCCCAGCTGCACTGACCCGTGTCTGACAATATACAAACAAAGAGTCTGCGGGAAAAGTGCACACAGGCCCCCCCACACACAGTTTGTCTGCTGACATCTGCTGAACTGAGACAAGGTCTTGAAGTTGTTAGTTTGTTGGTTTAGATGATCCTGGTGGCCATTAGCACTAATAAAACAGCACTCTGACTTAAAAGTCAACATTAGTCTAAGCACTGAGATTTTATACTTCACAAAACTCAACCTTTTCAGTGTCAAATATCTTGTCGTGGTTAAGATCAGTGCATGAATAATTAAAATACCAACCCATGCATGATCAGAAAGTGGAGGAACACATTTAAAAAGGTAAATATTTATACTTTCACCAAACTCCACAATTTATGCTTGTCATGACAGCAACAGCTCAATTTAGAAGGCTATAACAACCAAATAATTTAATATTTCAACAGTGAAATACAAATATAAAATAAACAAATCTGTAAAATGCTATTACTTAGTTACATTAATGATTAGCTAATCAGGAACCACTTAACTCCTTAAAAACTTTGTTTTTATACTTAGACTACTTCATAGGTGATCCTATTCCACTGTTGTGTAGTACTTAAGCCCATTTCTTTGGTCTTTTCCATTAACTTCAACTTTAGATTGTAACCATGTTCCTGAATAGAATAAGTTATGCATCAATTATCAGCAGCTTCTCTTTTGTGTCAGGTGATGTGTCGCCTCCTTGTGGTGAAGAGAGGAACCACACCACACAGGTGAGCGTAGACCCAGAGAAACACGCTGTGGGAAAACTTTCCTGGATTTGGAAGGTGCAAAAATTATGCTTTCAAGATAAAACAGTAGGCTTTATTCAGCCTTATATTTTGTAGGATAGAAACAGACATTTAACTGCTCTTAACACTTAGCATACCTGTGTTTTGAGGTAAATTGAGCGAGTGAAGAACCTCAGAGGCACCTTGATTTTGAGCGCTGTCTTCACTATTTATCACAAACAAGCTCTGCAAGGAAGGGAAAAGAAAGAAAGAAAGGGTTTTCCCCCGGAAATGCTAATGAGCAGTAACATGATGAATTAATAAGATCTGCAAACATGTGCGAACGTGCGCAAAGGAGATAATTAACCTTTTACAAGAGACTTACTTTGCACGGTGTAAGAAAGCAGATGAGACAAAAAATCAACCGCGGCGTCCGATTTAGTTTTGCAGGAAAGGAGTGCAACAATGCCATCTCTGTAGATCACTATAAAAAAATAAAAATAAAAAAAACTGCTCAGGTTTATCTGCAGCTCGAGCAGAAAAAAAAACTTAAGAGCGGCTGCAGAAGATTGGTTGATCAACCAGTCTCAGATGCGGTCTTCTTCAGGTGAAGTTCATTAAATTTCCAGCGCAGCTCCCAGATGCATGAAAGTGCATGAACTCAGGTCCTCTCCCCCTCCTTCAGTCATGTTTCCTTTTCACCTAAAAGCAATCATTCCCCCTGCCGCTCTCTGTCTTTTCCAGTGACCCCTGCGGACCACTTTGACTCTTGGTCAAATCATGTGATTATCAGAAATAGGCCTTGGTTCTTATTGGCAAAAGCAAACTTCTGTGAGAATCGCACTGAGCTCTTCCCTCAGTGAAGTCTGCCGAGAGGCAGCTCTGACTGCAGCAGTGAGTTCAGAGGAGTGGGGGGGGGGGATAACTAGACTCCAGCTTGCAGCCAATCACATGTGACACCTGTGTTTGTATCGATCTCCCTTCTAATTATAGTCAAGCATGACTCACATATGGTCAAACTGAAATAGAAACTCATATACCTCATGTGATTAAAGAAAATGCCTTTTTTGTTTGTTTAGGCATTCTCTCTTTTAACCCCTACGGAAAAAAAATCCATTGCTAGGGTAAATACATGCATGCAGGGGCGGAGCTAGATGGGGGGCCAGGGGTGCCCATGGCCACCATTAGCCACTCATTGGCCACCCCTACCATTTCCCCCCCCTCATACAGATGGTGGCAACAGTAAAGGCTGTTTCATACTTCAAAACTAGCTTGTCTGCGTAGGTGTTGCGGGGAACGCAAAGACGTCCCTGCCACCTACGCAGACACTGCTGCTGCACCCCTCCCCCACCCAGATTTAGGTGACCGCAGACAGTGCCGCAGACAGGAGGTCGGCTTGTTTTGTTTGTATGACTGCAATTGCGGAAAACAACTCGTGAAGTTAGACCAGCTAGAAGAGCAAGGTGCGCGAGAACACTGTGACCCTTTTTCCATCTGGATCCCCGCTGTTCATGTCCCTCCCTCCGTTGCCCGCACTTCCTCACCGCATCGGCCTTATCTAGACTCACAGCATATAGCGCAGACCACGCTTAAAATTGAGCATCAAGCAAAACTGTCTGCGTCAAGCTCACTGCGACACACTGCTGCAGGAGTATAACCAGCTCTTAATATTCTCAAGTGGAATATTCAAAACATTACATTTTTGTGGTTAATTATAAACATCAACTTACTAACATCAAAGAAGACAAGTGCAGAATTCATGCTCTTTTCAGAGCTAGATTTTGTGTTTTATGGTGTAAAGAGAAAATTATGCGTCTCTGCAAGTCATCTTGGAATCTTCAGTGAAATCAAAGATAAACAATTTTAATAAAAGCTTAAAAACTTCAACTTCAATAAAAAAAAAATCAAATAATGAATTTATGTAGATATTAGTGATTGTAAATATAAATTTTATGCAGAATGTTTATTGATACAAGTAGGTAAGCAGGGGTTGACGTTAAGGATTTTCACATTTCATTTGCCCAGAAACAATTTTTACTTGCCCAGTATAATGTTTGATAAATATAGTTCCTAATATTCATTTTTGTATATATATCAATAAAACATGCTTGCTTTTTAAATGTTTTTTTGTAATTCAGTAAGTTTACAGGTTCCTGGTGTGTATATGCATGCGTCAGATAATGAACTCAAGCCTACATCACCGTGTTAACATGCTTTTCAATCCATCCTGCACATTCTTTTCAAACTAAACTTTGCTTTAAACTGTTGTGTGCTTGGAAGAATATTAATTGTAATGTTAAAAATAAAAAAAAAACTTACAAAAAACTTACACCACTACTACTCACCAATTTAACATGTTTAGCTCTATAACATTTAAATGCACCTCTCCAATGTCTAAGAGAAAAAAATTTAATGCACATTTTTTAATGTATGACCACTGTACAGAAGACTGCCATATGATAGTAATATTTACACTGTGCACATACGATTTTTATTATTATTTTCCTAATCCCTGACTGATCATTTTTAATCTAGCGTGTATTATACTATAGATTAAATTCATCATTCAGTGGCTACTCTGCAGAATTCTGTCCCCAAGAGGTGAATCACGCCATGTAGCGGAAAATCACGCGGCTTTTTCAAATCACACGATGCGTACAAAACAACAAAAAAGGCGCCGGCAACGCTTGTGGGTCGTTTTCAGCGAATGTTGGATGATTTTAAAGTAATTTTGAGTGATAAATAAAGTTTTTTGTGATCATTGCAGTTGCCCGGCCGGCAAATGCAATTAAATTTGTACTCTCCCGACAATAAAAAACTACTTGCCCCGGGCGATCGGGCAATGGTTAACATTGAGCCCTGGTAAGTAATGACAATGATTGAATTACGCCCCAGAACTCAAAACTGAGTTTTATCCACTATATTTTTTATCTAGAAATTACGGATGTTTAAATATATGCGTCTATTTGTTAGTAAAGGCTGTAGCAAAGTATAGTTGGTCTTCTTTAGAAAATATGGATGTTTTGCTCCTTAATTTTCCTGTTGGAATAGTGTAGATTGACCCTGAGGTTCTGGGGCCTATCTACTTTTGCTCACTCCTCAGTGTACATTGGTTATTGTCCGGCCACCCTTATAAAAAATGTCTGGCTCCGCCTCTGCATGCATGGCCATCATCACTAATAGCCTACAAGCATTTTACTCATGAAAAGGTAAGGTAGGGCGTAAGCCATACTGTGAGGGACCAAACTTAAATAAGGACAAAAGGTGTCAAAATTTGAAAAAGTGCTTTCATTTATTTGTGTCAAAAATGGTTAACAAAGGCTCAAAGCAATACAAAATAACTTAAATACAAATTAACATGGATCTGGGCCCAACTTAACTGAGGTCAACTGAGGATCCAGCTCAAACAAAAAAAACTGACCTGCAACAAAGAACTAAAGGCTGCTTAAAAAGGGATGGAGTAACCCAAGTCTACCACATGAGGGAGGCACAACATAACAAAAGAACCAATAAATACAAAATTAACCATTCTATGAAACAAATAAAGCAAAACTAACTTTTATTTAACAGAAACAATATATGAGTATTTAAGTGACAAACTAATTGAAAACAACTTGAAACAAGTCTCCCCCGTCAGTCTTTGAAAAATGGTACGCTCCAGGTTTACTCCTCCAGCTGGTTTGCATCAGCAGCACCTCAAACAAAAGAACAAATGTAAATAAACCATTCAGACAGGCATTAACTAAAGTGTGCACCCATTAGAAAATACCTGTCTAAAAGAAATAACCAACTTAAACATAAATTGTAATATATTATATAAAGCAAGAAAAAAATTACTAACACGATGTGGATGAACTGGTGTTTGCTGAGTATTTATAAGGGGGAGGGGAGTCTATGTCAGGCGGTCCTCAGAGCTATGTGAATAGACTTGTTTCTCAAATAATCATTCTTAATTAGAGTTTTAAATTGTCAATTCATTTTATTTTTAGTTTATTTCTATAGCGCCAATTCACAACACGTCATCTCCAGGCACTTTACAGTTCAACCAGATCACACAATCAAATTGATTCAAAGTTTTCTATCTAAGGAAAACCAGTTGATTGCATCGACTCAAATGCAATCCCTCACACTAAGCATGCTTGTAGCGACAGTGGAGAGGAAAAACTCCCTTTTAATAGGAAGAAACCTCCAGCAGAACCAGGCAAATATTAGATATTTAACTGCACATTTATCCCAAATGAGGTGAGTTTTGTTTGCATACTTTGGAGTTTATAAACACAGATAAAACAATATCAAAAACAAAACTTGGCATATGTAACAACTTGTTTTATTGTTACATCCTCCGACAGTAATCGCAACTCCCTATGATATATGCTTATGCATTTAAAGAAAGTGCAGAATTAAGGTTTGTATTTCTTATATTAATATTTTCTCCTTTCTACACCTTTTGCAGCTATCATACCTCATGCCTCCTAACCTTCTTCCTTTTCTCACCCATGCATCTCCAGTTTTTGATTGATGATACTCCTTATCTGTTATTCACTTATATGATGTGTTAAGTGTTTACTTATGGGAAACAGAGGTTATTAGGTATTTCCCTGAGAGGTTAAGGTTTATAAAATACGGAGTACCAAGAATTGTCATTCGTGCCAATGTACTAAATAAGCAAATACAGTAAGTCAAGCAGAAAGATTTATGATACACTTATAATCCAATTATACAATATACCATAGTTTTAGTACCTTGAGGTCAAATTTAGATAAGAATCTATCAATCTTTTGTAGCACAGCCAGCTTAAATGAGTTTTCAAATTTGCAGAATTCCTGGGTACAAAGAGAAGAAAGTACTCCCTTTTAACAGGAACAACACTTTAGCAGAATGAGAGTCAGGATTAGTGAAACTGGGACTTGAGAAGAGAGGCCCACAAAAATTAAACACAGAAGTAATGTGTTGTTTCTATCCACACAAAATATACTTTTGTTTTTTTAGACTTAGATTCAGACAACTTTTATTGTCATTTTGTATACACAGAGTGTTTTGTAAAGCTTTCAGATAGTAAATCAACAATTCCATTCCATAAAGTGCAGCAGTGATCAAATGTAAACAGCTTTGGAGAAAAAGGAGAAAACAAGTGACTGCAGCAGCTCCTTCAGTGGCTGGAGCAGAGATTATATGGTTAGTTGTATGATCTGATATTGGCAACAATTTTCAACAAATAAAATAACATAAAGGAAACCTAATGAGGAAAGCAACCCATTTCTTGCACTTTTTGTGTTTTCATTTCCAAAATTGACTTTGATACATGTCACTCTTATGTAAACACACAATTATATTTTGCCAGGGACTCAGTTTTTGAAACTTACAGCAAATTGATTGACTCTCTATAGAGGGTCTTCGATTAAAAAAAGGATAATTTAAGCATAACTCAATCTTGATCAATCAGTCATTTCCTGTGTTATAAATATACATAAAAATGTTGCACTTAAATACTTCATAATCCTAAGTGACACTTAAACAACATTTATTTGAGGATGCCCCCCCCCCACACACACACACACACACACAAACTCTTTTAATACCTTTAAAAGAATATAAAATATACTAAATTGAGCTCAGTGATCAGGACCCTGTAATCCACACTTGATGTGGATGTTACAACCTGCAGCAGGTAATTTGTCATTTTATTTATGGTCTAAAATGTAACATTTGACCCAATTTAATCTACTCATCATTTAGCCATTTTAGCTATATTCCACAGCTGCACTGATAGGCAGCACGCCAACGTCCCTTAACTCCCTACAATCATTCACAGAATTGCTAGGAATGTGGGAGCCAGAAAAGCTGAGGACTAATCTTGAGTATTTTAACCTTAAAGAAAACCAGATGAGCATCTTTGTTG